TTCGCAATAGAATACAAATTTTGGCATTTTTCACATAAAAGTCAGGGTCCATTTGATCCGCTAAATATTGACCACTTATCAAAACAGGCATGCTTATTCTTTGGCCCGATCCCCTTCTCCATGTAAAAATTGCGGCCTCTGGAGCGATCAGAAAAACCGACAAAAATTAAGTATTTGGTCCATTTCATCCCTTAAATATTAACAGCATTTCGTAAAAATTGGTCCATAACTGTGGTCTGCATCGTGTTTACAAATTATACTGGACAGACGGACACACATTTATAGATCAGACTTCTTAAGTCGAATATATAGAAAACAACTGGGTCTGGGCCACTTTCTCTTGGTGTGCACAAAGCTTTTACCCTGACAGCATAGTTGTGTAGGATATAAATCAGACTCTAGCCCAATGTCTCAAAAAGATCGCTGTTACCTTAGTCACCATTAGCCTTAGTAAATAATACCTGGGATTCCTTCAAGAACTCGATATAACCGATTTAGTAAATTTAGATAACCACAAAGCCGCAGTAACAGGTGATAACCCTTGTTTCGACGTTTCCAACAGCAACCATTAGGTTGTCCTTAACAACCTCATCGAAAGACTGCTTATTCTCTTGGTCGTTAGGTGGTTGAGAGATGAACGATTCATTTTCTCCAACATCCTTCACATTTCGACTGCATTTTATTTTTCCACATCGCCGCGTTTGTTTTATTTTTCTTTTTTTCTGTCAAAGAGCATTTCTCCATTCCGCACGTGGAAATAAATGAAATCGATAGCGCCAATGGTGTGATGGCTAAAAAACTATTGACTTTTTAGCGGATCTTCTTCCGAAGAACGTTTTAGCTGGCTTCACAGTCGAGTTATTCACCCCAATAGACAGGCTAATTTCTCGCCTTTGGGCTCAGTAAGTTTAGTGAAGATAGTTTCCAATAGCCCCCATCGCCACCAATAACATCATCAACTTATTGTCCATGTAGTTTACCGATATTTTCTTTGTCGTGCTGCACATCTTCAGTTGCTTGCTTTACAATTCACATTATCGTTGGCGCCCGTCACAGATTATTTGCTTCTGATTGAGCAAGATGACTACACTGATTTGAGCAGCTAAAAGCTTTCAATCGATGTTGTCGTGTATTTACAGTCTAACTATCTACCTGTTTTTGACAAGGTAGCTCATGTATTCCTAATAGTGTTTATATTAAGTTATCTCACATGTTCGGTAATTTATCTACGAATATGTGAAGATATTTATGAATTTCAGTTAAATTATTAATTTATTTGTTTAGGTAGCTTTGCGGATTTATCCTTTGTTGTACTGTAAATCTTCAGTTGATTGCTTCAAAGTTAATAGAATCGTTGGGCGCCATTTCAGCTTACTCACGTCTGATTGAGCAAGAGGATGATCAATCTGGAAGAGTTCAGCCCAGATGGTCGTGTATGAATAGAAAGAACGACAGAATGTTATGCCAGATAGCTCCATCGACCAACCAATTCGTAAATTTTCGAAATACTACCTTACCGGCTGAAAAAGCAGAAATGTTTATAATCATTATCACTTACTTATACTTACTTCTAACGGAGATTATCGTCCTATCAATCGTGAAATTCGATATTTTAGCTGCGAAACTCATGTATTTGGATGGACTTATTCCCTCGGAACCTATTTGTCTCATTGTATGATCCAGTTGGTAGAAATTTTTTTCAGAACGTTGACAGTTTATTATCGCTGATGCAACATAGGATGTCGCGACTTTTTATAATTGTCCTATCGACAGTCTTTGGACTTTCTTTGATTAAATTATATTCAGTGTGAGCTTGATGATTAATTATTTTCAATTTTTTGAGATTCTTTACAAATTTTATAGTATTTTTCGTGTTTTTATAGTTCGCCACTATACTCTTTGAAAGTGAAAATTGCTAATATTTTATTTTCTTCTAATCAGATTTTTCATTGCTAGCGACAAACAAGATTGGCGCCCAACTTGCAAGCTGCTTATGTTGTAAATATACATTTGCTTCTTAGAAATGTCTTGCTGAGAGACAGATTTTAGTTATTCTTCAACTTGAACCTGGCGAATACGACTCCTGGGAGAGAAGATTTCCTCTATGAACTCAAGTGAGTGACCTATCAATGCGGTTAATTTTAATCCACTTCTTCTGGAGCAAGTTGAGTAGGCTTAGCGGGTCAATTGAATAAATGCTGTGAGGTATGCGGGTCTGTACCACATCCTGTGCAAACATTCTGCACATCGTCATTTATGCAAGTCCAATATTAATTGAGACGACTGTGTCTCTTGTCTCTGCGATGGGTGGGTAGGAGTAATATCCGAGGACAGCATTCACATTGCATACATATCATTCATTCTTTTTCCAGGGTTCGAGAGCGACTTAACCGTTTACTTTCACTGGCTTCAACGTAGCTACACTTCAGATGTTCAAACCATTTATTCCGCTTTTGCTCCGCGATTAATCTGCTGGCCACCAACGTAAGTTACAGACGCTGGGATTTAGCGCGTAAGAATGATGGAGCTCATTATACTTCGGCCCTTCGGCTACTGCATCAATTCAATCAATCATTCTTCTAGGGTTCGAGAGCGACTTAACCGTTGCCCCCAGTTTTGTTCACACCTGTTAAAATGTTGCAATACTTCAGATGCTCTATCCGTTTGTTCCGCGACTAATCTGCTGATATCCAACGCGAATTCCCTGACATTGGGATCTGCGGGGTTAGAATGATGGAGCTCATCATGCTCCGGCTACTGCATTTGGTTCTATCATTCATATTTGCAGGTTTCGAGAACAATTTAACCCTTGTTCAGACTTTACTCACACAGGTTCCAACGTTGCTACATTTCATATGCTCTAACTATTTATTCCGCTTTTGCTCCGCGACTAATCTGCTGACCACCAACGTAAATTCACTGTCGCTGCGATCTGTGGGGTTAGAATTATGCTTCGGCGCTTTGCCTACTGCATTAGGTCCTATCATACTTTTTTCTAGGGATCGAGAGCGACTTCGTTGGCAACACTTCAGACGCTCTAACCATCTGGGGTTGTTAGTCCAAATGCCTCTGCTAGAAATTAGGTTTTATTTAATTTAGGAATTATGGAGAGGTGGTCAAGAGAAATTACAGCCTGTCAGTTAACTTCATCAATAAAACCTGGTTATATTTGGTGAACTGTAAAACTCTACCCTTATTCTGGTGGGGTTATCCTCCTTCACCGTGCAAACGTGGTGCTATAATTTACACTTTTAGCAGTGTTTCCATCATAATGTGCATTGAAGTTATTACCTAGGACGGATTTGCCCTCCTGTAGAAAGTTACTCTTAGTCAAATAACGTAGTTCACTGCTATTAATCGGCGGTATATACATGTTTAGTGCCTCGGCAGAGCCAACTGTAGGCTACAATTTTAATTGTGGTTGCTTTACAGCACAACATGGTTATGTTCGAAATTGAGCTATATCAGTCCTCAATTAGGCATGGCACCTCATGTAATGATAACTCCATATTTTCGGTAATTCCTACACGACGTAAGTTTATTTTTTTTTAATTAAAAATTTCATATCGAATCGGTAGCTTCCACCCCACACCCAAAATAAAATCCTGTGTACGTTGGTGATGGCCTCATTTGCCCTCTAAATAGCAGTATTTTGGGGATTTTATACACATGTTCCACTATACCATGCGTCGTGAAAATCGGTCCACATTTTTGGGTTTTGCAATTTTTGGAAAAATGTCCATTAAAAGTTGCTGAAATTTGTATTTGGTGTACATTTTGGTTAAAACAATCGCTTGGTACTATTGTTGTTATAGGTATACGTTTTAGTATGTTCCCCATATTTGCATTTGAAGTAACTATCGGCATACGTATTGTGGAGGTTATCCAAAGTTCGGCTCGGCTCGGCCAAATTTAATGCTTAAACTTTATTTTTCACTTGTATTGGCTAATATTTATTTCCATTCAACAGTTGGTTGGTTCAATATTATATTACGCCTACTGAATATTTCCCTGTTTCCAATATCCACACATCTGGCAACACTCAAATTATTTTCTAGACCATTGTTGCATATCATTTCCTAATTTCTATTTTCTTTAGTAGAACACCCCAAGACTTAAGGGAACAAAATGTCAGCCCAGATGTTGTTGTTGTTTTATTGTGATTTGTTTTGTTTTCTATGTCTTCTCTGTTGGCTTTGTTGTTGCTGCTGTTTTGCTGTCATAGTATTAATCATACTCAGCTCTCAGTGAAAATCCTCCAACGTGTCATAGCATTCATTAGAGTACGGCAGCCAGAACAACAACAACAATAGTGAATAGAAGATGACTGACATACAACTTTGACAGAGTAACGGTAAAAATGTGTGTACGTTTGTGTGTGTGTCTGAGAATAGTGATTGTAAAAAATACCGTTAGATTTTCTTTATTGTGATGCCTCCGTTATCTCGCATATCCTCTCAACACAGCATCTCAATCCATCTATCCATACTCTCTCAATAGACTTTGTAGTGATGTTTGGTTGGATGACATAGTTGTTGCATTTGTTGTTGTTATTATTACGATTATTATTTGTTGCTATAAAACAAAAACAAGAAAAAACACATTTTTCTTTATTCTTATTTATTTTGTAGGTCACCACTATTGCACCAATCTCTCAAACCGTAGAAAGTTCATCACAAAACAAAAGAAAGATTTCATGGAAATGAATAAAATCGCCTAGAAGAGCAAATAAAAGAAAAATAATCATAAAAACAAAACCATCTCGGCCATAATGAAAAAATCAATTTAGTACTCATTGAATTGCAGCACAAGTGGAGCACAATAAAGGCGTTAGTCGCCATTGCCGGGTTGTGTAGTGCGTTTGCAAACGTAGCAAAAGCCATCATTGTCCAAAGATTATGATTTCATTTTCTTATTTTTTTCGATTTGATTTGAGTTGAAAAGAAAAATTGCTTTGTTTTTTCATTTCTTATATTATTCTTGTTATTGTTGTTGTGGTTTTCGGCTTTAACAACAATGGCTGAGTCAATATCATCCACAACATCGTCTTCATGCCGTTTGGATGACGGCATGAACTCACAATCGGATTCAATTGTATGCCAAGGATTTTATGGTGAGCCATCATCATCACAGCCAACGGAAGAAGGTGAGAATGCGTTTTAAACACACATTTTTATTTTTATTATTATTGAAATACAACTTAGTTTGGTGTCAATGATGTGACTAAACTAATATAAGAAAGGGTGTGTCTGTTATTGAGGTTATAAAATTAATTGTTGTTGCTTTTATAAATTATATTAATTAAATTTTGTACTAAAATAAAACGCTTATGCACAGCATGGAGTGAAAACGTTTCAAATATATATTTTTTTGTAATAAATGTCTTGCTGAAACATGTGAGAGATTTTAATGAAATTGGGATGTATTATAAACATACAGTCCTATTAACTAGAATTATAAAAGGATCTGTGATAAGAGTTGAATATTGTAAAATTATGGATAAAAAACTATTACTGAGCTATTAGAAGCTGAAATTGGGCTGAGGAAGGAAAACATAGTTTAAAAGCCATGTACAATGCCATACTTTCCCGATTAATAAATAAATATTTGTTTTTATAAAAAACTGTGACTACGCCTGACTATTTTGCAATAACAAAATGTAAATGGTATCCGAAATACCTCGCTAGCACTACGAAAATGAATTTGTTTATATAAAAAATACTTACTTAGTTACCTGGCTCGAGACAGAACATTTGTTCCATAAGTTGCGCTTAAAAAAGATTTCCAGGCGCGTCGGTCTTGTGTGCAGCTCTTCCAATTTGAAAGACCATGCTCCGAAATGTTGTCTTCCACTTCATTTTTCCATCTAATTCGTGGCCTCCCTCTTCTGCGTGAACCATCAGTTGTCCCGCTTTTATATGCCTTTTGAGCTGGGGCATCCTCAATCATTCTCACAACATGACCTAGCCAACTTAGCCGTGCAACTCGAAACGTCTGACTATGTCGATGTTCGAGTGTAAATGGTACAGCTCATGGTTCCATAGATCTACCGGAGAATCTTTCTCTTAAACACTCCAAGTGCTGCGTCATCTAATTTGCTCAAGTACCCATGCTTCAGATTCATACAACAGCAGGGGTAGTATCAGCGTCTTGTACAGTGTGAGTTTGGTATGGCGAGAGGTGGCCTTGCTTTTGAGTTGCTTACTCAGACCATTGTAGCATATATTGGCCAACACTATTCTCCTTGGGATTTCAAATCTATTATTATTAGTGTTGCTTATGGCGCTACCGAGGTATATAAAATCATTTACTACCTCGAAGCTGTAGTTTTCAAGTTCCACAGTAGGTTCAAGTCTAGTGGACGTCTTGCTCGTTATTACCATCAGCTTGGTCGTCGCGCCATTTACTGACAGTCCCCCTTTGGCAGACTGCTTCTCAATTCCTTCAAAGGTAGCTGTTACCGCTCGCAATGTTGGAAATATTATGTTGATTTCGTCGGCGTAGGCGAGTAACATATGCTGTTTGGTGTACAGAGTGTCATTTTTGTTCACATCTGGCCTTTTCCTGTAAGATGCTCAAAAGGTCACACGACAAACTGTCACCTTGTCTGAATCCTCCTTCGGTATTGAAGGGCTCCGAGAAGTCCTTTCCGATTTTAACGGCTGACCTTGTGCCAGTTAAAGTTAAACACCTCTAAGCGGATTGTGTTGTCGAATGTGGCTTTGAAGTCGGCAAATAGTGGAATCTGTCGATGTATTTTTCATGGGTTTTTTTCAAGGATTTGTGCGCCGTGTGAAAATCTGGTCTATAGTGGATTTGCCTGGTGTGAAGCCGCATTGATACAATCCAATAATATATCACTTTATATGCGATGGGAAGGAGACTAATTCATCTATAGTTGGCACATATCGTCTTGTCTACTTTTTTGTGCACGGCACACAGGATGCTGAGGTTCCAATCATTCGAATCTAGCCAAATTGTACTAATCAGTTGGTGCATGCTCTTGATAAGCTTCTGACCACCGGTCTTGAATAGTTTGGCTGGTAATCCCTTCTTTATATCTACAGGAAGATGTGCCTGCACCAAGGCCTTCGGTTAGATATTTTACTCGTTTGTAAAATTAACTTCATTCTGACTCCTGAACATCTCGATATGCTCATGCTCACGATTTTCTTGTTTTTAGCCATTTTTTTAAGGGTTCTCGTCTCTCCTTTTCTCTCGAGAAACAACTCTAGTTTAGTAAAAACGATCAGATTTTTCTGAATTTTTTTGTAGGTTTTTAAGGCCCATATCTTTTGATCCACAACAGATACAGCCACATATCGCACCATTTTGGAAAGGACAATGTGGCCTATCATTTGAGTCAGGAGTGGAGAGGGACTGGACCCAAGTTCGACTTTTAGGAGTTTTTCAAAAAAATCGGGGACCAAAACCTAGTTTTTTGACTGTATCTTTTTTGACTGAGATAACCCATCATATCACCACTCAATGGAAAGGTATTTTTATAACATTTAAAATGATACCCATTTATATTAACCGGATCCATAGAACCGGATATAACCGGGTACCCGTACCCGAACTTCAAGGTCAAATATCCGGGTACGGACAATTGTGACAGTCTTAATTGTGTCAAAGGCATTCGATAGGTCGATCATTTCGAGTTGTTATCAGACATCATTAATCCCACCCTTCCAAGTGATATCCAATTGGCTTGCAAATTTCCTTAATGGTCTGCAAGCCGTCGTTAAGTTCCGTGAACAAAAAGGTGGTGTCCTAACTCCAATTGTTTTCAATAGGTATCTTGTGAAACTTCTTATTCCTCCAGCAGAGGTTTCAGTGGCGTTGACGCCGATGTATGTACGGTTATTTCGTGGAGTATTAGCATTGACGACGTAAGTGCAAAAATTTCAAGCTACTTAGTCAAAGTCATCAACTTCTTCCGGGAGCACAATCTCACAATCAGCATTGGATACGCCTCACACCGACCATAATCCGAATTATCGAGTTAGTGAGAGACTTCTTCCTATGCAAACCCGTTCGATTCTGGAACAATTAAGATCCTGGTATTGCACTGTTCTCAATTCTTATCGAAAGCGCATTGTCCCCGGAATCCTAAATAGGCGTCCCTCTTGCCCTCACGACACACACCATCTATTCAAATGTTTTTCATTTGTCCTCGCATTCCATCTACGTCAACTAGAAGGTGAAAGCTTGGGAAAAAATTCTGAAAACTTTTACGTTGATAACGACATACAATCGTTCGTTAGTGACACACTTCTTCTTTCGTTAGTGACACACTCCGAATTTCAACCGTGAGTGTCCAGATGACGAGCATCGATCAGCTCCATGAGGAGACCAGGATGCTGTCAGCCAAACAACATAATCTGTTGTTGACTAGACATTTTCAGCTGACATGCTGTCTGCCGTGACATTGTAACCATCACAAAGTAATGGCTTTTCGATGGCGAACACGATGACGTTCGTGCATCAACAGGCGTTCCTCGAAGTCATAAATGGTCCTACTCCAACATCCTCTTCCGTTCAATTCTGACAGATTATGATTATGTTCTAAATTCGTATCAAGAGCGCATTGTTCCCGGAATGCTAAATATGTGTCCCTCCTTACGCCACGATATTCCATTGTCCGTCCGAGTCTAATATTATATTGCCCATAGACTTATGGCTGAAACCAATAATTCCATTAACCCCAGTTAATCGACAGTTTTACGGAGGAAGCTCTGTAATGATTCCAAAGAAAGTTTTTTTACAAAAAGAAGAAAATAATTTTCAGCATCTTTAGAAAGACTTTTTTCCCCATCCTGCCACAAAGATATTCCTTTCTTAGTTCTCCTTCCTGTGAAGGACTTCCTATTTCTTCAGCAGTAGTGTCTTGTTTTCCAGACCAAAGACTTTGAGCATGCATACTGTTGTGAACTCGCTGCGACAACCTCTGCTACCTTTATATAAGATGGTGCATCCTTCCTTTTGCGATTCCCGATCTTTATTGAAGATTTTGGCGTTTTCAGCCGATGGATTCTCGGTGCCTCAAATAACTGTCATTGTTTTATTCAATTATTTTCGTGACATCATTTAAGGGTCCTTCCCATCGTATTTAGGACATAGTTCTTTTTCCGTTGTGGGTTGAACAAATGTGCTAGTAGCCCCTTGAAACCCATCGGTACCTTGCTTTCATGCCGACGATTTTTATTCGATGGCGAACTGCATCGTGGACTTTACAGAAGGAGTTTTGACTGCCTTCTTCCTTGTTCACATCGTTGTTTTTTGGGGAAGCACTAAATCATAAGGTAAGGCATTAAATCATAAGGTAGCTTGAATTCGTTTCCGAACACAATTTTAGCTGAGGTACGGGATGTGGAATCATGCATGACTGATCATCGCAGTCTCTATAGCCACAGTCCACTATTTTCCGTAGATGTTAAATCAGGGTGCGATTAAATCGTTCTACCATGCCATCTTATTGTGGATATAAGGCGATGTCCTGATTTTCTTGATTCGGCAGGTGTCAGACATTTCCTTGAAAAACGTTGACTCAAAATGTCTACATTGATTGGAATGAACCTGGGATTTGGGATGGCATAAACCTCTTGCCTTTTGCTGAAGAAATTCATGACCACTCAGACATCAATATCTCTCAAAGGGAGGTCTTGATTATGCTCTTCGGTGTTGGACCTTCAGCTCTAATACGCCTCTCACAATTGGCAATCCATTCGACAATGAATTTCTGGCAAACGACCCAAGATTTCCTCCATCCACTCATTTTTTTTTTGAGTCCGGTACGACGATCAGATTCCGGCATCAGTAGTATCGTGTTTTCGACTTTTCTTGGGATCTATTCTATTTTACGTTGCCTCCTTGGCCTACTCTTGTACAGGTTAGCTCGAACAAGTTAATGATAGATTTGGGCTCATTACACTCGGTGTCCAGTTTGCGTATCTTGTAGCTTTCCGTAACAATATTTTTAGATTTCTCCACCCCCCTAACAACATATAATGATGACTAATGATTTATTTTTTACCTCTCTTCCCCCTTTGCACAGATATTCATGAATATGCCAAAACGATTGGCATTGACCCGGTAAAAGAGCCGCATTTGCTTCATTTGGCCAAGGAAGGTTTAATGCGTCCGTTGCCTGCTAACTGGCAATTGTGGTAAGGATAAATACAGACATACATACTTACATACGAATAGATTTAATGACTATTTAAATATATATTTCGATTCGCAAATATGTGTGTTTTTATAGCTCTGCCGATGAAATTGGTGATCCCTATTATTATAACGTAAAAACGAAAAACACGCAACGCGAACATCCTCTAAACGAATACTATCGTCAATTGGTGAGACAGGAGCGGCAGCGGCATAATGAGTTTCCATTGAAAATGGCCACAATGGATACAACAAATGGCAAAATGAATGAGGATGGGGGGATGGTGTCTGGGATGGGACCATTAACGCCAAGCGGTTCTAAGGTGGATGTCTTTGGTCGAAATGTACCGAGCAGAAATAGTGTCAAGGCCAAGGCTTCAATGTGGAATCAGACCTTTGATGAGGTTTACAATAAGGTCATACATCAAGAGAAGTTGAGACATGAGCAGCATCAGATTAAAAAGCCTGTCATACCGAAGAAACCAAATGAAAATGGTGAACCTGTTACGGAGGAAGCAACCGATGCCCTGGAAACAATGCACGATGAAGAAAATTCCGAGGAAAGGAAAACTACAAAGGAAGGTGGGGAGAATGTAGAGGATGCTGCTGCGAATCATGAACACGACGAAAAGGTACAAAACAATTCCGAATCATCTTCGACTTCTTCTGGGCCATCGCTAAATTCCACCGGAGCCATACCCAAGCTTTACGGCAGCTTGGCATCTGGTTCCACAACCAATGGTAATTTTAGTGGCAATGTTAATCGCTTCCTGGAGACCCGTTCGAAAAACTTTCCCACAAATTTTAAAGCTCAAACCCGTAAGGGTTTCAATATTAAGGCTGGCAATGAAAAATATCCCATACCCAATGCCAAGGAGAAGGATTCCGACAATGAGCTGCTGAGCGAGAGTTTGACGGAGAGAAAAGGTTTCACCTTGTCCGGTACGGGATCAATGTTTTTGAAATCACGTCGCCATTTTGGTATTACTTCCACTGAGCCGCCGTTGAACTACAAAGTGGTGGTAGAGGGTGAGGTGGGTACTCCGCCGGGGTACAAGAGTATTTTACGTGAAACGGGTTTGGAAGAGGTTAAACGCCGTTGGCAACGCGAATTTGCCAAGAGTGATTTGCGCGCCATTTCCGACACCGATGTGGACGATAAGAAAAATGTTCGCTTCAATTTGGAGGATGCAAAGATACCCAGTTCCAGCGAGGAAGAATTAAATGCAGAAATGTCCTCCGAATCGGAGGACGATGGTGTGGATGATGTTGAAGATCCCTGGGGCGATGAGGAGTTGGATGAATTTGAAGATTTGGAACATGACGATGATGTGGAAGAGGTAAATGCATGTGTGGGTATTGGTACTCTGCCCATGGAGGCAGTTTCCTATCAACGTAGCCTAAATCCATTCCTGATGGGCGATGAGCGGCAGATGAAGGACCTAAAAGTTACAGCGGTTAGTAAAACTCAAACAATTCAAATGCTTAAAGCTCAAAGTTTTTCTATACACATGAAGGCAAAGGATGCGGCTGAGGCAGCCAACGCCTCGGAGGAAAAGGCCAATCAGGAGTCGGCTGTGCAATATTTGGATAAATTGAAAGAGAATGCCGCGGTGAAGCCGTTGTACGAGGACACCGATTCCGATTCGAAAGGTAGTTCCGAACATAGTATTGTAACCACTAAACCGGAAGTAATTAATATGGCCCACAGCCCATCCAATAATCCCTTTGAAATGGATGAAGAACTGGTGGAGCAGGTGGCAGAGGCCGAGCGACAAGTTCCCATCATACAGCCAAGTGAAAAACCAGCTGTCAGATCTTTTAAAGTGGCCTCCAAGTTGGTGGGTTTCCTAAGGAAAGATGTCGACAAGCCGGACTCGAGCAAAGATAAGGAATCCGATGACAATTCCTTTGAAATGGATAAGGACAGGGCGACCATGTGGGACAATGAAGATGGTTATGAGTCAGAATATCCGGGTAATAATCCATTTGACTTCGAGGAGTTGGCAAGGCGACACAATCGTGCAGATGCGGAAGCAGCCTCCTCCTCCGCCCATTTGGAGAAGAAGTCACGAAGCCACAAACCAGAGAAATCTTCCATGCGCTCCTTTAGGGTTGCCTCCAAACTGGTAAATCTTCTCAAGAAAGACAATGAAAAATCTTCCTCCTCTTCGGAGGCCAGCAAAGAATTGGCAGTCCAAGAGGAAATGAGGGAGACTTTGGAAAAAGAGAAACAACAACGCCTGAAGGAGGAACGTGAAAAAATGGAAAGTGAATTGCAACAGGAAATTGCCCAAATCAAAAAGGATCACGAACAAAAGTTACGCAACATACGACAGGAATACGATTTACGTTTGAATTCCTATCGCCAGGAAACCGAGGAGGCACTGAAATTGGAAATGTCCGAATATTGCCATCAAATGCAAGAGGAATACGATTTGAAACGCAAGGCTGTGGTGGATGAACATAAATCGCAAATGGCCACGGTGCAAAAGAACCATGCCGAACTTCTGGAGGAGCTGGAACGTGACCTAAAGAGTGAAGAGGAAATGATCAAGAAGGAACATGCTACAAAGTTGCAGCAAATGAAAGATAAACTCAACGATGAATTGGAAGCCGAACGTCAACGAATGAAGGAGTCGGGCGAGGAGAGGCTGTACGAAAAGGTGCGCTGTGAGAAACGTTTGCTGGAGGATAAATACCGATGCCTGAAAGAGAAATATGCACGTCTCAAAACGGAAGTTAAGCTCTCGGTGGAGCGTAGAAATCGTCGGCGTGAAGCCCAAGCTTTGCAACAGAAGAATATGCATACCACAACCACTGGATCGGAAACGGAACGTTCAACATCTCATAGACCCACAGCGACAGTTAACACAGAACATCGTTCCTCAGCAATGGCAGGGCAAAGTGGTGGTGGCAGCCAGGCTCCCAACAAGCCACCCATACCAACAAAAACCCATTTAGCGGCGGCGGCCAATAAGGATCCTCCCTCAACCACGCTAACGGAACGCAGCGGCGAGAGGGTATCAACGTCAAGTTCTCGACGACCAGGAGCATCGCCTAAATATGCCCGTCATTTGCGGGTACAGGATGATACCACCTCCGTCAGTCAATCGGATACTACCATCTCCAATAACTATCCCAAGGGTAGATATTTATTGGCTCCCACATCGGCTCTAAGCGATAATGGCAACTCGGACTCGGAGGCGTTTGCCAGCAATGTTGAAAATAACAACAATTCGCGCCGAGGCAGTGGTGCTGGACCACCACCACAGCGCAAAAAACAATTTACCCGACTCAAATCGGCTTCCACGTCGCGTCTCAACACCGACAATGCCAAAAACGAGCGACCCTGTACGCCCGTCGAAAATCTACGACATCAACTGCAAAAACTTGAAGATCTCGAAGATCAGCTACCCGACAATGCCCTGGAGACCACATACCATCTACGCTATCCCTTCTCGGACATATCGAATGCCGATTATGCGGCCGGCTCCAGTTCGGAGCTGGAGTTCTTCAAGCATCGCATACATTTGGAACGGGATTCGGTACACCGAGCTAAGGAGTCATTGCGTTCGCAAAGAACTACCTTTAGAGCTAGACAGCGAGAAATCAAGCAAAGGCACAACAATCAGGCCACCCGACACAGTCTGGAACAATTGATACAGGAAGAGAAAGACCTCACCGAAATGGAGGTGACACTGCACAGGACACGTGCCTTGTTGGGCGAGAAGGTGATACGTCTGCGTCACCTGGAACAGAGTGTCATGCGTATTTGCGACAAAGCCGGCAACAAGGCATCGCTGGACTTGTTGAGTGTTGAGCCGACAAAAGAGGATGCAACTTTGAGTGATTTGTCGTCTCAGTCTAGCTCCGGTTTTAGTAGTACCGATTTGGCCAGTGGTGATACGCAGAATTTGAATAAGCGTCGAGAATATCACAATCTGGAATCGAATGAGTGTATAAAGAATTTGGAAATATTGAATTCGGAAATAAGAGAGATATTGGATCTGTTGGGTAGGGGTGGACAGCAGGCAGGTGAGTGGGAAATCTTATTCGAAAATAAGAAATAATGAAGTAACATTTTTATGATATTCAGCAGCAGGTTTAAACATACCCATGATACCGCCAGCAGAGTTAAATTGGTCACATATGATGGGTTCAGCTGGCGCAGCCATAAGTCCAACACCAGGTAAAGGGACAAGAAAATATTCACTCCGAAATCTAAATAACGATTTTCTTTATTTGCAGATCGCCGTGAAACTTTGCGGCAACTGAGTTCCGGCAATACCTCAACCATTGATCGTCTTCAAAATTCCATTATGGCCGCCAAAACCATTGCCTCTCAAAATCCCAAGGCCATAAATTACACCAACAGCCTGGTAGAGAGGACCCGGGACATACGCAATTGGTTGAAACAGGCCAAGAATGAACACGAGCTGGCCAGTCCCAAATCATTGGGTATCACCAGTCCCCTGCAGGCTAGCGGCCAATTGACACCGAATAATGCTTCGGGTAGTGAGGGAGGTATTAGTCCTGTGGGAGCTGCCGGTTCATCGCAAGCAAATCCATAAATGAATAGGGGCAAAATGGGAATACTGCACACAGAAGTGATGAAAATTGTGTTGTGAAATGTCACGAAATAGTGATCGGGATGGAACTAGAATAGTATCGTTGTATATGGTGCCAAAGAATTGAGTATTAACTAAGTGATGATTAGAAGATTTTTAAATCAAATTTTTTTAGGAAATAATTCATATAAAACAGAAAAATGGAATTCCTTAAAAGTCTGTATACCAGACAGCAATTGAATGATCATAGTTAGATATGAAAATGCCATTGCAAGAAGATTTGTAGTTATGCTAATGCAAAACAATTTAAGAAATTGAAAAACAAAAGTATTGACAGGATTTATGTATCTGTATATCCTTGTCTTTGTCAATCCATAAAGAAATCAGCAACTAATTGTAGTTATAGATAAATATGTGTATGGAATACAAATTAAGATAAATTTGGTTCATAGAATAGGAAAACTGATTAAAAATCTATAGAAGTAAATGATTCGTGATATGGAGAGGTTTTCAATAGAATGAAATCTTATAGGACGTCGGGCAGAGCAAATTATTTTAGTTTTCGAAATGTTACCATAAATAACTAGTCATGCTTCCGACAATCACGAGAAAATCATTTTGAAAAGGTTTAGAGAGTATTTTAGCAACTGTTTAGATATAAATGTTGTGACGATTCTAGCAACCTAGCAGAAACGATTCGTAGACTTCTCTATGATTTTGGTAAACGAATGAAATAGTTATGATTTTCGGAAATAGTTCTGATAGAGTGTAAAACATAAAAACGCATTTTCCGAAGAGCAAGCCTAAAATTTGTTCTTACAGTTATAGGGATCTGTTTGGTAATATGGATCTAAAGACACGTCTCGAATTTTGTTTTATAGTATTAGATTTTGCCAAATCAAATGTTTATTTCAATCATCATTTTCTTTATAAAGTTACAATGAATGAACAAGCATTTGCAATCTCTCGCGAATGTTCGCATTGTACGAAAAATTCACGAACGAAAAAATTTCGCTGCAAGCATCGTCGATTCATTCTTTCGCGAGCATTTATTGCTGAAGAACATACTTTTGAAAAACACAAAAAACAAATGTTCGCGAGCACTGTTAAAAACAACCACAAACAAAAATATCATAAAAAAGTAAACACACACACCCAACAATGAATGTGTGAGTAGCAGAAAGTGTGTGGAATAACAAAACACATGTCCAACAACTATTGAGTTCACGAACGTTTGTTGTTATTGTTGTTGCTGTTTTGAGAATTCGCGAGAATTCGGGAGTGTTTGTTTTCAATCGTGGGAGAATGTCAGAAAGAATTTCAACCTCCAAACGAAACGAACGAACGTTGTTGTTTGCTCTCACTCGTTTGTTATGTGTGTGCGAACATTCTTTGAGTCATTCGCGAGCGAATTTTTGCGCACCCTGGTTTTTGTAGAAGTTTTTTGAGAATGTCTGTTAGCATACCTTCCGTTGGACAATATTCACACAGAACTTTTCCAGATTGGCATAAGACTCAAACAAAATAATACTTCACATCAATGAGTTTCTTCTTCTTCCTTATTTGCAAATTCGATTTCCGAATATAAGCGGCCAATACAATTTGACCCAGTGAGCGGAGCAGTATAGTCGTGCGGTGCCGATCATATGATACCCTACACAACTTCCACGAAAGTCTAACTCTGTGTGGTTTTATATTCTGAGCTTGGACAATATTTTGCGATATTTGCACCGTCTTGACCGACTAGAGGCTAACAAATATTACTAATATTCAGTGCAGCCCTTCTAATTCCTTCACCGTGGGTTGTATTGTGATTGTGGTCTATAGATTGAGTTGAAAAAAAAAACACACACACACAAATGTAAGTGTTCGATCCACTTCATCCCAATATTATCATCAAAATTATAGGCGTTGTCCTTGACCTTACCTGGATCCTCATGGAAAATTTCAAAGCGATCAGCGCTAAATCCTACATGTAAAGTTTCGTGAAAATTGGTCCATAACTGTGGCCTGTATCGTTTCTCCAAATGGATATTGAATAATAATGGGGAAAGTATACATCCTTGTCTGACCCAATATTATCTGTCAGTTCTCCGTTTACCTCGATTTGAGCAGTCTGGTGCCAGAGTTATACTCTTAATACACTGTATTTCCTTCTGATCTATATTTATTTCTATCAATTTATCATGAAATATCATTAGGCGTCTCTACATTTTTTGTATTAACGTCTGTCTTCCTCGTCCGACAAGGGCGAGTCATCCCAGAGCTCCATAGAAAGCGATGCAAGTGAGGGATTGAGGTCGACCATGGCAAAGACTTAACATTTAAGCCTGAATAAGCTTGTTGTGACGGCCAGGTATCAACAAGGCTCCGTCCTAATACAGTCGGGACCCTGACTGCAAACCGAAGAACGCTGATAGGCACGAGGTCGCATGACACCCCAGCGTTAGGGGGTCGCTTTAAAAATGTAGTGACCCAGATCTTTTGAGATGGTTATATAGAATCGTCACTCTCGTCTCGTCGGCCCAGGGATCATAGGCACTCGGTCATTTCCGCCGAGACTCCCCCTGAGCCCGCTGGTTGTCCGCGACTGTTTATTTGTTATTCACAGCTACCCAATGAATATTATTGGGCTTCCCACTATCCGCAACCTGTGGACGCGTCCGTTAGTATTCACCTCTGCTCCCCGTAGGCGGAATGCCCCAGAGAGCATTCTTCTCTTCAATATCGAATACAAAATCATTGTTTCCATTAAATTTCATTTTTGGTGGTGATCTTCTGAATGCGCCAGCATCTTCTTTCAACTTTCTATGGCTTTGTAATCTTTCAATCTCCAGACATTCTTTAAAAAGTCATACATCATCAGGAGATTGTGGTCTGACGGAACATCAGCACCTGGGTATGTTGAAGCTTTTGTAACGGATGATCTATATCTCGAATTAAGAAGTATGAAGTCTATTAGATTCTGTATAATATTTCCTTTTCTGTCTTGGGGAGATTTCCTCGTATATAGTCTTCTTTGGGGGGAAAGGCAAAACGTGGTATGTGGTATGTGTTCTTGGCAGAACTGCATTAATCCATCTCCTCTTCCGTTTCTTTTCCCGCGTCAATATATACTGCTATTCCTGGAACTTTTTTGCTTCCAATTTTAGCATTAAAATCGCCCTGAACGATTGTTATGTTGTGATTTTTATGATATCTTTAATTTCATCATAGAAAGCTTCAATTTCGCTGTTGCTTTTATCGGCAGTGGGTGCATATATTTGAATAATGTTTACATCAATTGGTTGGCATTTAATTTTAATAAGCAAATATCTATCAGATTTTGGAATTGATGGGGCATCCTCATCCATTCTCAGAACATGACCTAGCCACCGAAGTCACTGCAGCTGCAGATTGTTCGACCCATCATGTTGATGTCATTGGCGTAGGCGAGAAATATGTGCTCTTTGGTGTACAGAGTGCCATTTCTATTCACCTTTGCATCTCGTATGATCCTTTAAAGCAGGATATTAAAAAAAAGTTCACACGACAAACTGTCACCATGTCTGAATCCTCATTCGGTATTTATGGGTTCCGAAAGGTTCTTTTCCTACACTTAATGCTGGTTTATAGTCTCTAGCCTAATTGTACTATCAGCTTGTAAATGCTCCTGATCAGAGCATCTGATCACCGGTCTTGAATAGTTCGGCTGATAACCTATCGACACTTGCTGCTTATTATTCTTCAGCCTATTAATTGATATTTTGACCTCATCTTGGCTTGGAACCAATAAGAGATGACGGTATGGATTGTATACCATAATATATACTGACATTTCTTATTGGTTCTGAGGTTCTGGTCAGTTACTATTTGATACCAGAAGCTTTGCAAAATGCTCCTTCCAGATCCTCGACACGCTATCTGTATATCTCACCAGGTCTCCTTCATCATCTCTACAGGAGGATGTGCCTGCACTAAAGCCTTTGGTTTATGTTTTACTCTTTGGTGAAATTTCCGGACGTCATCCAGATTCCTGTACACCAGGGATGGAAAATGAAAAATATGAAAAGGTACAAAAAGAGTACTTTTTTTTAATAAAAGAGTACTTTTTTTAAGAAAATACAAAAAAAAAAACATTTTATTCAGTTTAAGATCGATTTTCAAGATATCACATAGTCTATCTTTCTGATGGTAATAATATGAGAATTCTTGCTTCTTTCGATTGCATTTGAATATGTATTTGAATATGTATGTATTTGAATAGGTATTCTATTGACTAACTTTAATTTCACTATCTCGTTCTCAAAAGCCTATATACCATAAACTAAAATGAATTTCAGTTCGAAAGTGCTGTTGAAATTATTTGCCTACCGCGAGAGAGAACCCATTAACTTAATTTAATGTTTGTAATTTTAATCATAACTGATCAGTTATCAGTCGTAAACCTGTTTAATTTTCAAGAGAAATATTCCAATCACATCAATATCTTTATCTGCATATCCATAATAATTCTAATCCAAATATATATATATATATATATATATATTGGTCTAATGAAGGATTGTAATGGTACTGAAATTGTCACGGGGGTACTACGGTACTTTTTTGTGTAAAAAGGTACTGAAAAAAGTGCCATCCCTGCTGTACACCTCGATTTGTTTATGCTATGTACCTGCAAACTTAGGGAGGATTTAAATTTTAAAATTGTATATTTAAATTTTTGAATCCCGTTTTTGATTCTAGAGAGATATCCAGGCGAGTTAATGTCAGCTGACATATGTGGTTCATTCCAAATGTTTTTCAGTAAAAATAAGTTGTTAGTCACATTTAAAGATGTATACAGTAAATATTGTAATGGATACGTCTTGAAGACAAAATCCGAAGTTGAAACAGAATTGAAGGAAGTTCTTGCTCTATCAAGAAATCAAGGAAATCCGTTAATAGAGCTGAATTCGATATGTTTGAAATAAGACACATACTCAAGGAGCATGGAATTACAGAGACACTAACTGCTACCTACA